TGTATATATATATATATACACACACCTGCCGTTTTAATTTATTTAGATTTATTGTTAAATCTTTTTTTTTTCTTTTTTATTACATCTGAGATTACAGGTTTCGTTTACAATAAAGGTGCCTTTAAATGTCACCATTCCACCAAAAATGTTAAAATGATTTTAAGTAAGCAATTATTCTTGAGCTTCTGTGTTTCATCTAGCGTTAAACATCTAAATATTTAGATTTGTTCTATAAAATTCTTTATTTAAGCTAAATCATTAAAGTATTGTTTATTCAATCCAAGTTTAAAGTTTTGAATCTCCGTATTTCAGTCGTCTAAAATTATTTAACTCATCTTTATAAAACTAATTTATGGACTCACTCTACTTCACAACGAATATGATATTCTTGTTTCTCTTGAATACGCTTTACCTAAGTAATAACCTAAAAAGTCTAATCTTGAAATTTTCATTTTTATATGTCACGTGCTCATTTATTTTTGTATCCTTTCGTTATCGTTATCCAAACTAAGAAGCCTTTCCGCATCCATCAAACTGCCAAAGATTACAGTGGCAGAGCAATTATATCTGAAAGAAAGGGGTCCATAAAGCATCGCTAGAAGTATTCGGGAATGAACTTCTTAAGAAATGTCATAACAGACGTAAAATGGTAACAGTTGGAGTATTTTAGCCCTTTGGGATCATGTTACATAAGCTTTAATCTTGCTAGCCAACTGTTAGAATAAAATATCTAGAAAATAAAACAATCACCCTTTTGGACTTCTGGCACTATACTAAATGATTTTACTTACGGTGTTGCCCACTATTTTCGCCACATAAAACTGGTAACTTTTCTCCTATCGTTGTCCTCACCATGAATGAATCAGTTGTGCACTGCCCATTTTTGTCCGGTTGTCCCAGACTAAATTCCAAAAAGTCCAACCTCAACTGACACACGCCCGTCAGTTTTTCAATTGTTACTTGACAGGTGTCTGTATCATTTTCACCATCTAATGGGTAGTTACGGTGGACAAAAACAGTCTCGTTCTTCGATGTGATGTTACCACAAGTGAATTTCTCTGTAAAATTGTATCGTTATTAATAATGTAAGTCTTGCAAATATACAAACCATGTTACCATATTTTAACTAAATACAATAATTAATAAAACCTAACTTCTGTCATAATCGTATTTCTAACCGAAGTATAAAAATAAAGACAAGCACTTAAAACAAAGTATTTGTAAACCAGAACGAAATTAGTATCTTTATGTATTACTTGCTTTTAAATTTATAATACTCAATATATATATATATATATTGTTTTTTTTTTGGTATTACATTATATTTAATGTCTCCAAATCTATCAGCACTTTGTCACAATAGGAAGTCCACTAAACATCAAAATTTAGAAATGTCTAACTAACATTTTAATGCTGTACCAAATGTAAATTACGAACGAACATTTTTTCTTTGTTTATTTTTATATGCATAGATTTTAGCTCCTTGAGAAATAAGTTTATTCTTCTATAAGATTGTTTTGAGGTTAATCTTTTTTTCATCTTAAACATAATGATTATAAGTAATTATCGAACAAAAGAAAGTTTTGTTTAAATACTTGTTTGTGTTCGGAATTTTTTCGATGACTATCAAATATGAATAATAATAGAATTTTCAACTTAATCGAAACCCAAATATGTCATTTGACGTCACAACTGCTATGTTTAGAAAAATCCCAAAAGCGTTTTGTCAAGCTATATCTGTTAATGTTACCCCAATAAGCTTCTTTCAGATGTGTAAAGTAAACATACGTTTTGTTTATCTATTAGTAAGTTCATATTCATATACTTCATGCAGGATTTCTTGATACGACTTAACAATGTAAATTTCCTCAGTACAATAATGGTGATAAACATCATTTGTTTTACGCAATAATTACCTGTATTTCCCGCCTTTCATATATATGAGGTTTATGTCTTATTCAACATAAATACGAAGTTATTAGCCTTTTTAAGCATTTCTTTATGACTTGTTGCTTATTTAAGCACAAACAAGACTATATGTATACTGATTTAGAATAAAAGACTAGAAGAAAATATTTATTGTTGACAAAATAAATAGCTAGTAAATTCAAGCTGGCTTCATAATTTTTCGTTGCAAAGTTTAATATGTTTAAATAAAGGAATTTATTGAAAACGTTATTCTTAAACTGTGTTATTTTTCAGTATACCAAATTACTAAATTTCAACGAGCAGTATAACTTGCACCAGTCAATATTAAGATCAAGTGCTTTAATTGGAAACCTTTGAATTAATTTGCTATTTTTACGTAAGAATTGCTATTCCTATTCTGGAAGACATTCAATAAGATTAAAAAATACAATAAAACAGACTGGAAGACACAGAGTGTTAACAAGAATAGGATTAGTGTATTGATAGGAAAAGAAACAAACAGTGTCAGTAAGGACGGAATGAAAACTGTAAATGAATAAAAACCACAAATCTCCGTGAATTAGTAAAAACACAAAATAATATTAATATAGAAATAATAAGAAACTTTGTTTATGAGAGGGAAAGAAATAGCAACAAGTTTAGGAATTTGAATTAGCAAAAAAAAATCATAAACCTACCAAGACAACAGGCTCCAAATCCGTTGGCACAGTTGCCAATGCTACTTCCTTTTCTATTAGAACACTCTGCGGCAGATAGACAAGTACCTTCTAAACCATTACTTCCAATACAGTCTGAGTTTTGGTAACGAACTAAATTCAAAATTCCAGCTAAAATTGAAACAGAAAATACAGATTGGTATACAAAGCTAGGTATGATCCACTAGCATAAACATTATAAACATGAAAGTTCGGAAAATATGATACTATTTATCAAATTAAGATTTGTAAGCTATAACGTAGGCTAACTTGGCAAGCTGTGACGAAAAACCAATAGTATAACAACTTTCTAGAATTAAAGAGTTCACGTTGATTTAAAATATATACTATTTTTTGATCAAATAAAAACTTTCTTTGTCATTGACCTATCACATTTATTTAAAAAGCCTAAGGATGAACTTTAAATTAAAGTGGAAGTATTTTTCAATAAGGAATTCAACGAAACAAACGAAATGTAAACGCGCTTTGCTTTATTGTTAATTAATCAACAGAACGTTTCCTGTCAAAATGCTATAATGGTCAGAGCCAATTATTATATGTTATAATTCTCTATATTTTGTTTAAACGACTACTACTCCAGAAAAATAAAATAGAAAAACGGTGTTAAAACTTGACATTTGTTCCACACAACAACAAGTAATAAAACTGCGCTGTTTGTTATTGTTCTCATGTTTAAATTATTTGTTTATTGTCAAGCAAAAAGCTACACAATAATCTATCTATGTTGTGCCCGCCAAAGGGATAGAACCCAGTTTTTAGCGGTAAGAGACCTCAAACTAAACTCTAAAACACGGGTGTGTGCGTGTACTTAACACTTGTTAATACTGATAGTTTTATATATTGTAGATGGAAGTTTTTCTTGTGCAACATTATTATCAAGAAAGTGTTTGAACTCAAAGTGTTTTAAATTTAATATCTTGTCTGTAGCTACGAGTGAGACCACAGGGACCAGGCACACCAAAACCTTCTTTAAGTTCGCCCAGAAAAAAAATATGTATTTATGTTTATTAGATTGAACACAATTGTACTACATTAATTAAGGAGAAATCATGTTATTTTTATTATGGAGCTACATACGTTATCTCATCCACCTTAACGCTTAGAGTAGAAATTTCTTGTGAGTTATGGTTATATCTTGGAAATATTATAAACAAAATTTGAGCAACTAATGAGAGAGGGAGACAGTTCTGAGCTAAACAATGGAATTGATGGTCATTTCCTTTGTTACCGAATCCACCTTCTACATACTTACGAAGTAAATATGTCGCGCTTGGGTTTATTATTTAGTTTGAGCTTTTCAATGATTTAATGATGACATGACATGGGCAACCTTCAAACCTCTAACCTTTCGACTTCGAGTTCAAAGCACTAATAACGTTGCCGACTGTCAGTGATAGTGTTATATATTATTAAAATTCAACAATCTTATTGCAATATAATAAGTGTAGTAGTTTCTCATCTTCTTCACAAGTGTCTCTTCGAGTAAGAAACCAATCAGAGTCCTTACAGCAGTAAAACAACAACAACAACTGTAAATCTTGTCCAATGTAATACTTTGTACACTTCTTCAGAAGTTCAAAATGAAGTAATATTTGTTTTGGCACTCATTATAACTAAGAACATCGCATATAAGTAGCAATCAATAAAGTGAACTAATTTTTGTTTTGTTCTTGTTTAATAGCAGGCGAAACCTTGACGCCACTGGTGTGGAACACTTGTCAGATTTGTGAAAGATGAGAAAGTAAATGAGTATATTTATGAATTGAGAAGCGTCATTGTAAATGGTATCTGTGTTGCACTGTTACAAGTTATATCTGAAACAAAGGTTTGCTACAGATCAATGTGATGCTAGACTGCAGTTACTGATCCCAAAGTTTTTTCAAGACAGCGAAATGCTGTGTGTGCCATCCTTCCACTGTTACAAACATCGGCTGAGTGAATAACGTACCATATTTCCATCAAGATGACCAAAATCGAATTCCGGCCATAGCCAACATAAAAATATTCCTTCTTAGGGCTTCCCTAAAACAGCAACAAATTAGTAGCCAAAGCGTAGGATCAAATCTAATAAGTGATTAGTACCTATCTATAAAACATTTGTTAATATCTAATAATTAGACTTAGGTGGTTGTACAGGATATTAACCATGACAACAGGGTATATCCAATTGCCACAACTTTACCGCCTAACAAAACATGAAATGTCTACAATGAAAAACTACAAAAACATACAGATGTCTTAGAACACTTACGCTTGACGTATTGATGAAGACAAAGAAAAGTGCCAAAAAAGCCTGAACAGCACATATGAAAACAAGTTAAATATGTTCCTTTTAAAGTATGCAAAGAAAATAGCATCGTTAAAGAAATTAAAATAACACCCCAAAACACGGATGCTTGAACACCAATGATTTATGGCAGTATAAGAATACACAAAACCTGGATTGGGATCAACTCAGTTATCTTTCCATAATGTACAACCTAGGCAAACATCTTTTTTCTGCCATCAGATTTGATTAAAAATAAACCAGAAACAATAAGGAAGTATTCCTATGAAGTCAACAAAACGTTTCAATATTTCCACACATACAGACCTCTGAAGCCATTAACGTGTGAATAAAAGACCGAAGTCAAAACTATAAAACAGATCCCAATTCAACAGAGTTAAAACTTTGTTTGTTTTTGGTGGTGAATTCTTGAGATAATTTTACATAAAAAAAAGTGGACTTAGCATGGAAGGCCTTCTATCACCCATTCTAGCGAACTTATGAATTCTATAAAAACAAAGTCAATGTAAACATCCTTATCCCCCCTCCTCCCCAGGCACTTGGTGTCGATACGTTGATGATATATTATGTAGTTTTAATAACCAAAATTAACAAAACTACTTTAAAAAACAACAACATTAATATCATAAATCCTAACATAACATGCACAAGTGAAGAGAAAAATAAGCAACAACAAACTTTCTAAATTTAAATATTAGATGATTTCGCAACATAGCACAGCGCATCCAACATAAAAACACATAGAAAGAACATACACTACGGAATATATATCTATTAGCAATAAGCACACGACATCAATCGGAAAATAGATGTATTAAAAGGCTTACGCAATATTGCTTTCCGGCTTATAAGAATATAGAACAAATTATCAAAAGGCACAACTCAGATATTGAAATAAAAATCTTACAACAACCAGGACTAAAAATAAAGGATCTACTAAATCAACCTTACAACAATGAAGACTGCACAAATGGATCTATTTATCAAATTAACTGTGAAAATTGTGAATCTCTATATACTGGTAAAACAATTAGAAATCTAATACCAGACTTAATGAACACTTAATAGGAACATCACATGTAAATGATTACATAAAAAATGAACCATAAAATAATTTACCAAAACACAACGATGTCAAGTAAAGAACAAGGTGTGTACAAAAAGATAGATTAAGGATGAGTTAATAATAATAAAAATACAAAGGCCTAACATAAATATTTATAAAGATTTGTAAAGGATGTCCATTTTACCTTTATTCTACAGATAGATCAAACGTCTACCATTAACATGAAAATGTAAACGAACTGAAATTTTATGCTCTTGTGGATATAATTATAATATTGTGAAGATGTGCACCCAGATAGATCAAACGTCTACCATTAACATGGAAATGTAAACGAACTGAAATTTTATGCTCTTGTGGATACAATTATAATATTGTGAAGATGTGCACCCAGATAGATCAAACGTCTACCATTAACATGTAAATGTAAACGAACTGAAATTTTATGCTCTTGTGGATACAAGTATAATATTGTGAAGATGTGCACGCTTACAGAGAAATTCTTTTCACAAATATAAGTACTTCAAAACTGTCTACAATGATCCTAGCTGTACTTCTGAAAAACTTCTGCTTTACTTGGGCAACTGCAAAGAAGTCATAAATCACGACGTTTCACTTCTTCAGCTAAGCTTCCTAAGTTGGTATAAGAGAAAGATAATAGATTGTATGATGGCTTTTAAATTGTTTAAACAGAAGTCACGTGTGATAGGGGCGTTCTATTGTAAGTGCTATTTTCCTTTAATATGATCTATATTGTTGCTGATAAAGTATATCATCTCTCAATGCTTGTCTTCAATGAAAACAATTTTCCATTAGCACCTATTAGGTGAATAATGAGAGAATACTTTTTTTTAGCGCAGCAACAAAGAATCGAAAGCTGTTAAATATTCTTTTTTAAAGATTCTCTTCAGTTTCTTAAATTGCATGATCATTTACTTAACAGAAAATTTTCCAAATCGTATACGTCATAGAAAACTTCAAACTGTTCCGTGACGCAATTGAAAAGGCTTTCTGGTAAGGATAAAGGTGCAACAAAGAACTTACATAAAAGGAAAATATCTCCTACAATATTTTGTTGCACCTTTATCCTTACCAGAAAGCCTTTTCTAATTTATATAAAAGGAAAATAGCTCTTACAATACTTTGTTGCAGCTTTCTCCTTACAAGAAAGCCTTTTCTAACCTATATAAAAGGAAAATAGCTTTACAACACTTTCTTGCGCATTTATCCTTACCAAAAAGTATTTTCTAACTTATATAAAAAGAAATTAGATCTTACAATACTTTCTTGCACCTTTATCCTTACCAGAAAGCCTTTTCCAACTTATATAAAGTTCCGGTAACAGCTGTGACGTTTATTGCTTCTATAGCTACTTATGAAGCAACAATCTCGTGTATTAAGGGGTTTTAAGACTTCAAAGACAACCTATAGTTCACGAATATTTTATATTTGCTGATAACCTTATACCAAGGATATTGAAATATGTTGATGGTTAAAAATGCATTACATCCTGTTCGAACACTTGCGTTAATTTCGAAGTTCTTTAACTTCGTCTTCTACTATAGTGAGTAAAAATAATTGGCAACTAACAAATTAGATAGCTAAAGTTAGCGTAATCATTTATTTGTAAACTTCTTTAATGTGGTAGCGTTTAGATCCACACATGCAAAGTTAACATTTTTGGCTCAAGCTTCGAAATTTAAAGTTTTGTTGATATTATCATATTTATTATTTTATTAAGAATATTCGGTTATATGTCTTATTAGCGGAACAAAGTAAATATTACGTTTCATATTAACTTAAAGCCTGTAATTTTGAAATAAGTAATTGTTTTAGGTTTATATACCTGTTGTTGTTTGTTTCGTTTAACGCAAACTTATACAATGGGCCATCTACCCTCCGTCCATCGCGGGGAATCAAACCCCGGATTTACGCATTGTAAGTCCGAAAATTTTAAATTTTTTCCTGAGGTGTTTATGTGGCTTATGTTAAATAATATAAATCTTCGCGAGTAAAGGAACTTAACTTTCTAATCAAAGCAATTACTAATGAAGTCCAAAGTGTCGTTTATTTAGGCTTCCGTGCTTGTAAACAATGTGACTATATTACTGAATTCAGTTGATTAAATTTTATTACTTCTTTTTAATTAGTCTTAAATTAAAATAACCGTCTAATGGCTGTTATGTTAATCTAAGTATTTCTCGCTTTGATATTTCATTTGACATCCCGAAAGTTCTAGCTTGAGTTTGGATATCCAATTATTTCCAGTAGAACAACAGACTGCACAATAACCTCTTGGATGTGTGTGTGTGTGCTATACTTACCAAAACTAGGTGCTTGAAACTGGCCTTTTGTTAAAGTGAAGAATGTTAGAAAACACACCGCAATTACAAGTCTTATTTCCATGGTAGGTCCTGCAATACAAAACAGAATGTCATTTCAAATAATCAAACCTAAAGATACGTAAGTATTATTGAAGAAAACAAAACATAACATAAAAATCCATTGTTCAAAATGATTGTTCAATAATTATTTAGAACTTTATTAACAACATATAAAGTTGATTTTTATAAATCTGTATAGACAAAAACTACTTTATCTACTTGCCTTAGCCATTGAGTATTGGATAATGATTGTTGGGACCGTGATGATATGGGATAGTAAGAGTTTATAATGTGGCAGCATTTGCTAATGATATTTAGCACCGGGCTGTACTACATGTTTTCCACTCCTTTTATTTTAAAGTTAAGATCACAAATTTTTTTTTTCTATAATTCCCAAGGTTCTAAAGTTGGAACATAACATTACTCAAGTAAGTTTCGAGCTTTCACATTTCCAGGGAATAATTGGGTCAAGTGGGGTTAGGCGCCTTCTTATCTGATTCTCTTCCAGTAATTACAACGTGCTTTTTAATTAACACGCCGAGTGATTCTTGTTGGTGAATGAGACAGTAATTTCGGGTGGACTCGCCCATGATCACACTGCCCGTTAGCCAACTGATCTAACAGGTACTAATTACTGTTTTCTTGTGTTAGAAACTCAACCGTTTATTGCCATATTCAAAAGTGTCGGGACCTGAGAGAGCATGTTTTACAGGACTTTACCTGGAATTTTTCACAAATTATCAAAAATATTGTCTAGATCTTACAGAGGTTTTCACTTATATAACTTTTAAAGGAATTTATATAGATCTTTACATGGGATAACAGATTTAGTTTCATTTGGACTTAAACAGTGTTTTCGTAGTGTTTCTGTAACTTTAACTTCTATACGAGAACTCATAAAGTTCTTGCTTTTGATTGTCGGTAACATGTTTGTATGTTTTTATGTGGTTTTACTCTCCTGGAACTGCCCAAGTTGTAACTTTAGCATTGATTTTTATTTGTGCGGAAACCATTCGACTTTCGCCTTTAATTAAGTAGTTATTTAAGTTAACCAGTGAGCGTACTGTAATAAGATGCCTCCATAGAACAGTGGAGTATAATATAGGTTTTTATTTAAAGTACAGATTATCATTCTTGTGGTGAAATCCGAGGTAGGACCTTGGATTTTGTAGTGTCTAAAGCCAGTGCTAACCTTATTGTGTTACATTTTAACTTGGGGTACTCTCTTTTATATTTTAGCCTATGTTATAGGAGAAAAACATGCAGTATCAGAAGCATGTTGTTTGATAACGTTTTCATCGCCCTTACTAGTCATAGCCCCCCTTTTTTTTTGGTCACACATACAAACAAATAATCACTTGCTTACCATAAACTGTATTGCTGTAGTGTTGCACTGTACTGTATGATAGTGCATTGTTGTTCACGTTGTAAACTGTGAAGATTTTCATTAAATATTTGTTCCTTGTATAAATTTGTGTTCTGTAGGGAAAAACACCTGCATACCTCCTGTTTTTGTGAACCTGGACTTCTCTGCTTTGCCGGAAATACTCGATGTCACAAATATTTTATTATGTGGAGTAATGGAATGGGATAACTAGCTGTATGACTGTATTGAGTAGTGTCACACATTATAATGTAATTACTCCATACGGAGTAGATATTTATGTGTGAACAGTGTTTCTTTATGTGTACTTTCACGTGAATAGTCTTAACTCTTTCACAGTTAAACATATTAATAATAGCTTTTATATTGTTACATAGTCAATTATACCGTCTAACTTTGTCACAATGTTAATTATCAATATGAATTATATCAGTGCAGTCCATTAACATCGTTAAATATATATATATCGTATCTGTCAACTATGACAACAAAATAAACTATTCTCCCATATTCAATAAACGGCAATAATATTCGGAGTAATGGATATTGATTAATTGGCTGTGATTTACGGAAAAATCGTTTAGAAAATCTAGAGAATTCTACTACACTAAATGTTCGATATTACAGTCAAATGTAGAGCTGCCTACACTAAATGTTCGTTTACGATCGTTAGGTGGATGACTAATAGTTTTCATTACAGACTTTATGACTAATTGTCAGATAGCTGATTTGTAAAAACAAGTAAGTGACTGCTATCACTTCATAACAGGGATTTTGCCTTGTTATAGCTATTTACATTATAAATTTCCAATTATCATTTGACTAACTTGAACAATGCATTTAATGATTTAAGTAAGTGGGAAAGAAAAAACATACTGTTTGCATGCGAAGGTAGGGTTCTAAAATTTATGTGAGAAACAATAGGGAAGATGATTTAGGTTTGAGGTGTACATATATATATATAGGTTATTTCTTAGAAAATAGAGAAAGTTTTAAGACTATGGAGAGTTTTACGGAAACTATAGAAGTATTTCGGTTTCTTCACTGTGGTTAGCAGAATGTGGAACTGTTTTTCGAAACCAATGCTACAGTTTTTCGGACAACTGTCCATGCCACAAACAGTTGATTAATATCTGTTGATTCTGGATCTCTGTAATCGCTGGACACCGCGTTAGTATGCAGATGATTAAGAGAAAATATTTTCCTCGCAAGGTGGGGCTGTTTGCTAGATTCTCTTTAAAATGCACCCGTTCATAGCATGACACAAACCAGCTCACCTGAAATGGTACTACGAACGCGTCCAGTAGATAAACAACGTCTAGTGCAATATTCTTTTTACAGATTAGTCGGGTTTTAGCCTGTAGCTAGTTAGCAGGTTTATGTCTATTTAGAGGAAGCCAAGGGCTAGGCCAGTCCTTAATTTACGTAGAGGAACATTGTGCATAAGTTGGTGGTTTAATTACGGTGTTAAACAAAATAAGCCTCTATAGCTTGCAGAATGGTACCATTAATACCCCACATAATAATAATAATAATAATAGGATCATCTTTGCTGTTCATAGTTCCCATATTCGATATTACAGTCAAATGCAGAGCTGCCTACACTAAATGTTCGATATTACAGTCACATGTAGAGCTGGCTACACTAAATGGTCGATATTACAGTCAAATGTAGAGCTGGCTACACTAAATGGTCGATATTACAGTCAAATGTAGAGCTGGCTACACTAAATGTTCGATATTACAGTCAAATGTAGAGCTGGCGACAGAACAGCCATGGAAACTGAAAAGAGGAAAAATATGTCAGTGTATTGGGTGATTTTGTTAACCTTTTTTGACGTACATGATTTGCACCAGTAAAGGTTGGAAACTTTATTACTTAAAAAAATAAAATGGATTAGAATATGTAATATTATGCATATGATAATGCAAAACCACTGATATAAAATAATATCAATCACCGTTACCAGTTCGCCCCAGTGGCACAGAAGTATGTCTGCGGACTTACAACGCTAAAATCCGGATTTCGATACTCGTGGTGGGCAGAGCACAGATAGCCCATTGTGTAGCTTTGTGCTTAATGACAAACAAACAAAACCTTTACCAGTTCATTGTTATGAAAATCCGACATCTGGTGATCAGTCATGTGATGTGAAATTCAAATGCATAGTCAATCAGTCTATACTATACATTGTGGGCTCAAACAATCTTGTTTCATTCGTCACTTTGAAGTGAATCGCAGAGTTTACAGTACACCAGGTTGTTTATTAACTATAGAGAGAGCCATTAAACAAATGGAAGCCAGTTAATTACAGCAGACTGCTACAGACTTCATGGTTTCCTTACTTTGTACTCCATCTCTTTATAAAGGTTTTCTCTCACTCAACTACAAGTTTGATGTATAGAGTTTTTATTTTAATTTACTAATTACTTTTTAGTTTTAGTTTCTTATCATTAATCATTTGTCTTGCATAATAGCCACGAATGTTTTTTTCTTCTATTTTTCCTTCTTTTTATTTGCTTTAATTAACTTTTCTTTGCGACATGAAAGAGGACTTACTTGTCACAGAACATTTCCTGATAATCAAACCCAACTTTCTGCAAATAAAAAATCTTTCGCCGTTCGTTTGATAATTTTAGAAACAGTATGACAAAATATAAGGCGTAAAGCTAAAAGAATGATGAACTGAGCATTATATTCAACAGAATCATTTGCTATAAGAATAAAAAACGCATCCAGATATACGATAAATCGTCACGGAAAAACTGGAGATAAGTAATTGTTTAAAATCAACTAGAATATTTTGTTACAATAATATCCAGGTCCCATACTTTTAAAATACTGTGTTAGGCCCAATAAGGAAAAGTATCAAATATTAAATGTTAGCAAGGTTTAAGCAGGTGTTCAAAGAGATCAAAGTGGCTCTTATAATTTTGTCTTGTACGCCATAATACAAACCACTTTTGACAACATTACCATACAGTTTTATATGTAGAAGTTGAAGCATTTCATCAGCTTAAAGAAAATGGTTCCTTTTAAATAGTAGTTTATATTTGACACCACCTCGCCAAGAATTCCAGTATTTTAGTTATGCACTTTATGACGTAATAGGAGAACGTAGATTTTGTTTATCTAAAATATGCAACTGGTTCTTTCCGAACACTGGAAAATGACATTTAAACGACAAACTTGCTAGGTAAGAATCTCTTAAAATTTACTGGATGATGTGAACTTAAGAGGCCTTAAAAAACAGTATAAATTGGTGTGGTTTTATGACTTAATCTGAGCATCATGTTCGATGATAAATAATCCAAGTATACATGTTTTCTGTTAAAACAGTGTTGGAATGAGAAATATGGCAAGTCTTTAACTTAACTATTTATTAGAATGAATTATATTTGAATGTAGATAAAATTTATAAGTTTAACTTATTTCTAGTATATATCTTATAACACTAAGTCACTAACCACCATTCACCCTGGAAAGACAAGGTATGCCCTAACACTAACTACTTCATAAATGGTGCCTCACTAAAGATGTAATTAGCAGTATCCAGATAGCTAGACAGGTAAATAATGAACCACAACTACTTACACACAAACATATGTCTCTCTATATATATATATATACATGAATA